CTGTCCGGCAATGGATTAATGAGCGCCTTTCTATGTGCTGCGGTTTACACGAATATCTGAGGCTATGCGATATGCCGCCTCCGGAAATCACTGTCAACACAGCATTGCGGCTTGATGAGGACTTACCTCATACTCAGGGGTGATCCTGCTCTGAGGACAATGGTCAAAAATTTTATGAGGTCATTCCGTCGCCACAGTTTTGGGTCGCCAGCACGTAATGTGAACAGCCCGCACAGCTGCCTCTCGTTTCCTTTTCTCCTTTTGGAACCAATCCTCATTTTTTCTCAATCGGGAAGGGAGCCAGGAACTGTTAGCGCTTGGGTTTATAAAGAGAGCGCTGGGATCACTTTCAACCCAACAATGTCTGACAATGCCATTTCACTTCTCTCGACGTCGACGACTCTCATCCCTAATGGGTTGCTTATCACCATCGTTATGTCTGGACTATTCACAGCTCTCCTCGTTGTCCGACTCGCCTTCCCAACACGCATGATAAAGTCCCTCGATGCGTCCCTCCATGATGTGGAGCGACTTTACTTCAACACGTTTGAAACTCATCTTGCGAATCACCTAACTTTGGAGTCATACACCGACGTAGATCTCACGGCTCGTTTAAGAATGTACGCCATAATCTCCGCCCCCCCATTTTTTGGTAATTAAAGGAGCGGATACAGCCTTCAAAACACTGCCGCTATACTGCGTGTACAGGCCTTATCCAACGGCACCTTCTTCATGCAGTGGGCGGGGGAATTCTGGGGGTTATGCAAGGGCCATTCATTTGCCATCTGGCGTTGCAGGAGACACATTCAGTGTCTCGGCAACGAGATACAGGTAAGTTGAACCGAATCCCCGTGCGCTGGAACGGCGACTTAATTTCCTCCCAGTTGAGGCAGGAGGCGAAGTTTCACGAATTCAAGAGGGAGATCCCTTCCGGAAGCTCTCCGGCCTGGCAGTTGACGATGCGACGTATGTACCATTGTCGCGACGTTCCTTACGGAGTTGGATGCTCTGCGAGCTGTTCGAGTCACTTATCCTGTTGATATCGAAGTGTGTAGTTAATTGAGGACCGGATGTATCTCAGTCTGGGAATTCGTAAACGAGAATCTACAGGGAGATTCCCCCACGATCACCGGCTCGGAGAGGGAAGCGTCAACTCCCGCGTTTAAGACCAATTGCGGCCCAGTAAGCCATATGAAAATATGTACTGGGAGGTTTTGAAGCGAATCGCAGAACATCCCCTCGATGTTCGCAGGGAAGGATTAATATTGCGCAGCCCGCCTGTGATACACATCGCTATTATTGTAGTTGCGTGTGCAGTGATCCTCGGGAGTTCTTACTCCTCTCGATTGAGGAGGCAGAGACGGAGAAGCAAATTGAACACGGCAATGGAGTCTGAGATGAGCGGGTGTCAAAAAAAAAAAACCTATGAACCTCGCTGATCCGAGTTTTTTTAACGTGCAGGACATCCATTATGGGCCAGGAAAATGCTCTTTTGTCAGATGTAGGAGAGATATTATACTGGAGTATCAAGGTTAGCAGCTAGAGGTCGATGGCGACCCAATTACGGCCTTAACTTCAACCATCTTACAAGCACGTGAGCGGTTCGCGTCCTGGGTTGAACCAAGCAGAAACAAGCAACGCGACGGAATCACAAGCTGGAAATGGAATCGTCAGCAGCCGCACGACGGGCGAGAGGAAAATAGCTACGCAGTGACTCCGACGGTTTCGATCGGCAGTCCGAGCATCGTGAGGCCTGTGAAGATGAAGATACCCGCGCTGGCATATACCGGACTGAATGAAATAAGTCGGGCGTCGGTAACGCATTTAAGTGGATCAGCCATACCCGTTGGGGGTTTTTCCGGCGTTGCTGTAGACCGCAATGACTGCAACTTTCGCGTTAGATTTTGAGTGATTCGGTCTCTAAATTACACTGACTAGGAGCGAAGAGGCCGGTAATCCGGCTCGCAGATGCCGCAAGGGCGTCACCCGTCCCCCGACGAGGAGTCGGGAAGACTTCGGGTGCGTAGCCATATAAGACCTATCCAGATGTGATCAGCTCGTTGTATTTCTGGAACTGGGATAAAAGAATCACCCCGTAGAAGGCGTTCTCCCAGAAGCTCGCGATTGATACCAGGGCGTTTACCTGCACTGATGTCCTTGCCGCGCTAAAGAGTATAATCAGCGAAAGCACCTCGCTCGAACGACTGGACTTACGTCAAAGCGAAGAGGAAGACGCCAGACATGATGGTGAAAAATCTGGAAACACGGTTAGCCATCTCTGATGCTGTTCTTGAATGTGTGCCGACTTACGCCATGGAGTATTTACGTCCAGTGCGGTTCCACTGCACCATGACGGCGGCGAGCATAGATCCACCGACACCGCACGCAGCTTGGTAGGTGTATGCGGCTGAATATGAAATAAGTCAGTAGTGTAGTGGCCGTATGGGTAACTTACAATATGTCGCGTCGATGCCGGTCGCGCCGGTGTCTGTTTCGCGGCTCGACAAATAGCCTCCCCTTGATACCGACCAGATGAGCGGATAACTCCTCGCAAAAAACAAGAAGCTCACAAGAAAGCGTTGAACAGGGGGTATGCAAGGCCCAGAGCGCCATCTGAAGCGAAACCCGTTGGTACATCCTAGTAAGACCAACAGAAAGCATCTCACAGATAAAAATAATAAGGCTGGATGAGTATGCCAGACGAGGGGTGCAGAACAGTCCCTTGATGTTCTCGCCGCTGACATCGTCACTAGAAAAGGCGTTGGTTCGTGAACCGAATTTTAGAGAATAACTCACAGGCTGTTACGGATCAGTTCCCAAGTGGAGAAGCGCGTGACGGGGACGGCAATACCAACGTCGTGAGGATCAAGGTACGGAAGGGCAGCGTCGTGGAGATCTTGAACAGTCAACGTGGTGGTCGTTTTGTTCTTTTTGGCGATGCGGTGGATGACATCGACGGCGTCCTGGTCGCGCCCGATGCCTGGAGTGGTTGTAAGAAAATGGAGCTATTCTGTCAGCGAAACGTGCACTCACTGACGAGGAATTTGGGAGACTCGTCCATGGGGAAGATAAAGACCCGCAGGCCGGCCAAGAATAGCATCATCGCGCCCATAGTGTAGTACGAGTCTGAGAAGATGGTCAGGCGTTGGTAAACCAGAAAAGAAACACAGGGTACGCACACCGCCATCCGTTGTTGTTCGTGTTGTCACAGCGGTACAGGCTCCCGTCAGCAAGGACGAGTTTACTCACCAAATCGGTGTCACACGAGAACCTGGGCGACTGGTCAGATGGCGCAATGTACACCTGCGGTTGAACTAACTTCGCCAAGAATACCCAGGAAATAAGCGACCCGACGACCTGACCTACCGCCCACCACAGAGAGAGCAGGGTAAGGAGGTATTGGTTTTTTCCGGGGAGGAACTCGAGGAAGAGAGCTCCGTCGACGGGAAGATTCCCACCAACACCGAATCCTGAAACTAATTAAACCGGGCAAATATCTGCTAGAGAGGTTCAACATACCGATGCATGCGAGCATAGCTTGAAGACATTTAGTCCACGGAAGAAAGAATACAAGTGGGATACACACCGCAGAGTGTCAAGAAATTCGGGGAGGCACCGGCACTTACAAAAAAAAATTGAAGACTGGGATTGTGGAACCGAGCGCATGGACGGACGTACGCGATTCCAAAAACTCCGGACAGGAACAGAGTCGCGTTCCACGCTGTGCGTCTCCCAATCACGTCGCATGTCATACCCCAGAAGGTCGCCTAGGACTTGTGAGATTTTTCAAAAGAAAAGAAAAAAGAGAATGGTATTTACACCGACGATCAAGCCACAGTAGAGGGCAAATGTTGCCATACGAATGTTGCTTGAATAGTTGGGAAAGTTGTACTGGTGAAGATCCACGCTGAGTGATGGATGAACTGATGGAGGATTGAATAGCGTACTTGATTGGCAATGGCAGGCATCAAGATGGCGATAGCTTGCAGCCAGATATCTTACGACGCGTCATGAAAAAATGGGGAGAGCAGGCAAATCGGCTCACTGTCTGCGAACCAACTGAAGATCGAGCGTCTAGTTGAGATACCGAACAAAGGTTGAAAATTTATGCACGAACCCGAACCCTGTAGAACTAGGAATCAGCGACGCCTGATAACAACAAAACGAAAAGGGCGCACCGGCACTGAAAAACAGCTCCCACTACCATTTCGAATCAGTCAAAAGGCCGTAAGTGCGGGAGTAGAATGCCGCGCCCGCGGACATCGTCAGCGGGAGATTTGAATGTCCGATGGCGCGCCACGTCGGTTCCGCTCCACCAGCGCGTGGAGCACGGACCCACCTGGTATCTGGCTCCAGGATCAACCGCGAACTGCAGAAGAAAAAAAGCTGCAGCACATACCTTCCCATCCCACAATCAGTGATGGCCCCATTGAGAACTTTGACCCTATGGCACGTATCCAGTCAAGGAAAGCCGAGCGAGGAAAGATACAAAGCGACATACTTGGCCAGGAAAATGGGCTTGATGCCCTCCAGATGGGCTCTGTCTATCAGGGCTTGGATACTGCTGTCATCGCCGGTTTTCAAGTCGGCGGTGTCGTCCTGGACTTTCTCGTGAACTTGGTCGCTCATCGTCGTTCGAGATGAGGGTTGGAACGAAGAAGAACTCTGTCTTATCAAAATTGGGGATATATCGGGCCGGCTCCGCCGTTTCAGCTGCCAATGCCTGACGCACGTTGCCAAAAGTTGAAGTGGCTTCACGTCATCTCCCGATTTGTTTTTGTCTTCCGCGCAGGCAGCCAAGATAACGGTACTGCGCCTAAATTTGAATTAGAGCTGATAATCATCGGTCGACATACGCATAGGCGAGGTAGGTTATTTGTGGTATTCTAGTTCGATTCTGGCTGGAACCGCGGACTCGGTGCGGAGGCTTAGCCTGATTGGGAAGCCCGAAAACAAAGATGGTCTGGGATCCCATCCAATTTGTGAGAAGCAGGCATTATGGGCGTATGGTGTAGTGGTATCACACATGCTTTGCATTAATGTTTCCTTCTGGGACATGACCGTTGTATGTAGTCCAGGGTTCAATCCCCTGTGCGTCCAACCTTTTAACATTCTCTATTTGCATTAGAAGGTCAAATTATGTGCGTCATCTCTTTTCCTCGATCGGGTCTTAATCTAGACCGGTAACCGATCTGTCTAGCTGTTGATAGACACACTTGTAATCTCGTAGACAGACCGTTTACCGGTCTAGTCTTAATCTTCATCTTTCTCCTGAGCATGACAAGACGGGTCATTGGAATACTAGCTCTAAGTTAAGAATTTACATCGTTTGTTATGCATACATTAACTTGCTGGGTCCCTCAGCAACTGCTCTCCTTGGCGCCACTGGAGCTCGAGACAGACGGTATCTCATTGGGACTATCGTCCACCGGCTTCATCGCGTCCGCTTCGTGCCCGCCCTCGAATTCTCGTTCTATATCAGGAACGTCGCTGAGCCACTCATGCTGAATCAGGTCGCCAGCGCTCATTCGCCCCTGTGGATTTAATTCTAGCATGGGAAGCAAGAAATCCGCAATGGCCTGCGCGTCGGGCTGGGGGAAGAGATATTTGTCGTTGAGAACCGACGGGAGCGGCCATGGCCGCAGGTTCTGGATGTGCAGGAGTTTACCTTGGATTCCCGTCAGTCAGCGGACTGGCGTAGAACGGGAGCAGCGTACCTCCGGGATCGAAAAATTCCCCGCTCCACCGCCCAGACTTCCGCACGTCTTCTGGGAGGGGCCCGAGGAGCTCGATTATCTGGGCCATGTGGTCGTCGTCTTTCGTGTACCGTGGTTTCCCCCCGGCGCCTTTGGGTGCAGGAGCTGGGTCGAAGAGATAATCTCCCCCCGTTATCAGCTCGAACAACTAGCGGAACAGGTGGTGCATAAATCAAGGGAGCATCGGAAAGCTAGTTTGGAAGGGACGTACCACGCAAGCGACACTCCATATATCCGCACTCGTACCCCACGCCGTAGAGCCGACGATGACCTCGGGACAGCGATACTGCCGAGTCTGGATGTCGTTTGTGAAATGGTGATTTATCCATGTCGCTGAGAAGGCGCGGGAAGATGATGGAAAGGGTGAAAACAGGCAGTCAGGGACGGGAGGAATCGGTCAAGGGCTAGAGGCAAAGCTAACCGTTCCCCAAATCTGCAATCTTCACCGTGATCATCTCGTAGTCGCCCTCTAGGTCTACTTCTTCCACCCAGCCCTCCTCGCCTTCCACCTTCTCGCCGTGTCCTCCGCGGCCTTCCGGCCGGTCCAAATCGAGGGTGAGTGGCTGAGGAGCTGGACTGGGTATACGCATCGGCGTCGTAGACGCCGGTGCGGAGTGGGAGAGGTTCAGTGAAGCCATCCCTAAATCGTCCCGCTCCCGCTCCTTCCCCTTTCCCTTCGCCGACTCGTCGTTTGAAATTTTAAGCATCCCGAGCCCCCATTTGTCTCCCGTCACCTTGGCTCTCCCGCCGCTGCTCAGCGCAGAGAGGCTGACAAAGCTCCCGCCGGGACTGGTGCTGGGGAGCGGCTGGCTACCGGTAATATTGACGTTAATGTGGTGGTGCCGGGGCCCAGGAGTCAGGTTACCGCCACGCCCAGTAGACGCGGGCACGCCGGTGAGTTTCTGCATCGTCGGCTGATGTGGTGGTACTTGATGTAGCGCGGCGGGCGAGGAGGATAGAGAGGATGATTGGAGCGCCAGCTCGGACTGGATGACCGACTCGACGTCCGGGATATAAATGAGGAGATTCTCTGGCTTAAGGTCTACCAAACGCAAGGTCATGGAGAACTCAGATGGATATCGCAGAGCCTCTTACCAGTGTGTATAACGTCGCAACAACGATGCATGTAGTCGAGGCCCATAAGGACCTGTTTGGCTATCTGTTTTACCAGGGGGATGGGCACTCCTTTAGACTACAGCAGGAGGTATCGTGTCAGCGTTCTGGTAGAGCACACGCTTGGACGCACCTGGTGCCTCTTAATTAAACCCAGCAGACTCTCGCCCAAAACCTCAAAGACCATGCACACATGCGTCCCATTGGGACCTTTGTGTCTGAAGTGATCGAGGAAGGCTATAACATGGGATTTCCCGGGATGCGAATTTGGTGTGTTGGGATCGGACGACATCACTAAGCGCTGGAGAAGCTTTATCTCGTCTACAGCCGTCTCGGTGTACCGGGGAGCGGATTTGACGACTTTGAGCGCGACATGTCTCTGCATCCTAACCATGTCAATTCCCCTGTCCGCGCCCGAGAGAAAGGAAAAACGCACTTGACGTCGCGTGCCAGCCAGACGGTGGAAAAGTGCCCCCAGCCCAGTTTCCGGACGACGACATAACGGTTGTCGGAGAAAGTGTCTCCTATCGAGACCGGGTGGTAGCCGCCGAGTTTGTATTCCTGCCAGTCCTCCTCGTCTTCAGCCATAGGGGCAGTAAAACCAGGGCAAGGAAGAGGTGAGGTTATCTTTACATTCCTTATCTGTTCCCCACGCCGGTTCAACCCTGATCAAACAACGGTGATCCAATTTGTCCTTTCCTGTGGAAGGTGGGTAAAGCAGATACGGAAATAATGGACACGACAGGGAAACTGAAGCGCAGCGCCAAGGTCAAAGCATTTTAGGAGTCTGTTTCTTTACCTTGGGTGGGAATTGGGCGGCGGCAGGACCGGCATCTTCTCCATGGAATTAGGGAGACTTGATCGATGATCGGCGAACATTGCTTGGCTTTCGGCCCGAGCTGCCCCTTATCGCAGCAAAAATAGAACGAAGCGTTCGATATGCTTCCGAAGGAGGCAGTGACTCTGAAGAGTTCTCAACCATCGGTGACTCTCCGAGAATCAGTGACTGTAAAATGAACATCAGTCGGAGTGCAATAAATTTTAATAGAGGATTCTCACCTCGCCAGAGTGCTATCCTGTGCTTGTTCAACTTTGAAAGGTACATTCCCAGCAGAAGGTGGAGTAAGCTCCAGAATATGGGCAAAGGCGAGTCAACCATGGCAGATACTCGCCAGGCGACCATTTTCACCCGTTTTTAGAGCGGTTTAGAAGTCCGAGAAAGGCTAAACGACGGCGGAATTAGCTGGAATTAGTACCCACTGTGTTGAGCTGGAAAAAGACTTCATCGTAATATCTTGGAGCTGAAATCTGTCGGGTAAATAATGGCAGCTCTCACTGTTTGAAGAAGGATGGGAGGTACCAAATATCTTTTAACGCGCTGCCAGCAGCCTGTAAGTAAGCGAGCCAAAGATCCATGTGGGAAGACCAAGACGCACCATTATGTACAGTCTTAAATCTGGACAGCGCGGCGTGGCTGGAGAAAAAATGATTCCAAAAGGGCGGAAAACAAGAGAAGGTCAAAGTGAAAAGTGCTTGGGCCTGCCTTGTATCTTCCGAGGATACATGGGACGCGGATACATGGGACGAACCATTGGGTCATGAGAGTGAAAACGGAGTTCTTTTCTTGTCTGAAATGTGAGATCTTCCGCGTCTGTGTTCCATTCAGGATGGAGCGTTGAGAGGGCACGAACTTGGAACGGATGTCTGCAGCGGGCGTAGTGTAGCAAAGCCAGGTGGAGAAGAGGAAGGAGGAAGGAAGGGAGCAATAGCGGCCTAGATTATGACTCGGATGTCTCAGATCGGGACAAGACCGACATGATGTCGGAACAGGAGGATCCCGCGTCAAATTGAGTGGGTAGGACAGGCGCCACAAATTTCCAATCTTAGAGGATGCAACAATGATACTAAATGGTGAGGATTTTAGTTGACGCGACAGTCGCGCGAGGGTCTTACCGTGATATTTGATAAGACGATAGGCTTTGAACCGTCCCGGAAGATTCGCTCGACCGCGGAGGAATCATGAACGAGAGAGCTCATTCCAACAAGCAGGAATGGGATGATGGGTTTAAGACAAGTTCGCGATCGGCGATCACTACCTGCCACTCAGATCATAATTGAACCACATCGCACCATTACGACGCTACATTTTTAATTCAGAATGCGCCAAGTGCAGCCAAGTGCGAGCATAAAAAAAGGGTTTCGCATGCTGATCGAAGAAAGAAAGGGAAAAAAACCAAAACCAAAACCAAAAAGAGAGAGAGAAAAAGACATGTTCAATACAAGATGGAATCTGCGCTGTTCGCTTACAAGCTCAATTACCAGGTACAGAGAAGGGAGCGACGATAATCAGTAAGTACATCGTCCGGTGTTCAAACCGCGATCATCTCCGAAGCCTTCTCTTCCTTACTATCCCCCAGGTCCGAAGCCCTTTCAACCTCCACGCTCTCCAACCTGCTGTCCTCGAGAGTAGGGGTAGAGGCCGGCGCGTGTCGGAACTGGTACCACGCAGCGAGCGTCACGATATTCACGCCGAGGATGAAGAACACCGTGGGCCACGGCATCTCCGCAGATATCCGGACTTGCATCAAGTAGTCAGTCGCCCACTCGAATATCCTGCAGGCAAATATAACACTGACTGTACTGCACCTCGCGGTAGCGCGTCGAGATCCCCAGCCTGTCGAGCACGGCCTGGACCGCCGCCGTCGCCGCGGGGGCCTCCCCCGCGCCGTCGTGGACCGTGAGCGTGCCGCTCCGCGTGAACACGAACATCGTGTGGAAGACGGCTGCAACAACGAAGCACGCGGTGGAAACCAGCAGCGCCGCGGCCTGGTGCGGGAGCGTCACGCTCGAAATCGGCTGCTGCGGGAGCTTCATGTTGAGCCGCCGGAGGACGAACGGCGGGATGATGTGGAACAGGTCCTGCAGCATCGCCATGACGATGTGCGACACGGCGAAGGTGACGAGGTTGTTCGCGACGAACAGCAGGATCGAGGTCGTCTTCACGTCTGCATTATTTATTCTACACTGAGCGCCCCCACTGGCAGCGAATTCGAGGTTGAACTGACCGTGATATCCGAGCACAGCCGAAACGCCCGATGGCAGGTTGGCGTCGAGAACCTTCTGCGAATGGTGATGTCTGCAGAGCAAATGGCCTGAGTACCACTGGACTGGTGCGGTGATCAAGATACGTTATGCGTACTTTGTCCATATCTTCACGCACAGCGCGCCCGT